AAATACAAAATGCATGTAATCTCTACCTGACACTAAGTATATTAAGTAAAGTTTGACTACTCACTTTGTTATCTCCACCTGACACTGCAAGTATATTACCAGTAATTGACCAGCTAACATGCCATACAACATCATTAAATTTATGAAGAATCTACAAAGAAAAACAAACACAGCAACGATTTAATTAGCATGCAACAAATGTAAATGCATGCTGAAAGAAAAATTATCCACACACAATCATTGATAAGCTTGTTGACCAAATCTTCGGTTGCTATACAATACTATAAGGGTATACTGAGAATACCACATATATGACAGGTTGTAAGAAGAATATATCGGCCAATACATAGCGAATTCTATTGTTTTTGTTTTCAATGTACACATATATATATATATATATATATATAGTATTCCAGATAGACTCAGTTTCCTATGCTTTTCTAACCAGAGCAATTTTTGGTTTCCCAATTGATTTTAATTACCTTTGGCGTCCACATACTACCAGTACTATCGTCACTAGTCCATATAATGACTCTACCATCCTGTGAACAGCTAGCTATTGTGCTGTGTGGTAAGCCTATAGAGGGCGCCCATGCTACATCACGTACCCAATCACTATGGGCTTCTAACTTCTGCTCTTCTTTCCACTGTCCTTCCTCCTCCCTAGATTGAAACGTGCCAGACATGCATTACTGTGAAAATCTTGACTATATTTTTGCGGCAATATTGAGCAAAATAAAATTCTATGCGAACATCAGGTACTGCAGATGTACACAATACAATAATGATGCATTTTTAAACCCAAAGAAATAAACATTCATTTAAGAGATTTCCGTTAATAATTCAGAAAATCTGTTTACAAGCAAGTGCGTGTATAGGCAATATTGTAAATATGTTAGTTTTCACTGGTATTTGATTCTAGTATTTGTTTTGAATTCATGATTTTTCCCAAGTTCCAATGTAATTTTCATATTCATATGAATTTAATTTAGCATATTTCAAAATTAAAACTCTGAGGATATTTAATGTGTTTATGGTATGCACATTGTAGAGCAGCTC